CAATGGCCTTAGAAATGTCCCTTGTTTGTAAACCCGGCCAATCTACAACCTTAAAGACCTTAGTGATATTCTTGCTTCCATATTTTCGCTTTTGATTGTTAGATTTTGTATGAATTGAATTGATATTGGCATTGTTTGTTAGTTGAGTGAAATTGTCTCTGCGGTTGCAAACGCGTAATTTCTTCAATCCTTATTCGAAGAGGAGAGATAGAGTGATTCATTCATGAAAAACATAGTTGTTGATTGATACATGGCTTTATATTTGCTTTAAGAATTTAGTTCTTGTGCATTGTTTGACTCTAAACATTTAAAACCGTGGCTTGTTTGCATCATTTGTGTTTGAGCCAATTTTATCTATTCTTGGGTGAATCTTAGTCTTGAGCAAATCCTCTTGTTGCAAAATGAGAGGCATACTTTGCTTGAGGACAAGCAAAAAGCTAGTTGGGGCGAGTTGTTATATGCCAAATTTCACTTATTTGATCTATCAAATATTGACATCTTTCACTTATTTTTCTCAAGAAAGTGTAAAAAACCACTCTTGCTTTGTTTGGTTTGCAATATATTGTGAAAATCTTTCGGTACATTTGATTTGTGTGTTATTGTGCAGGAATTAGGCAGAAAACAAGTGAAAAGTAAGACACAAGAAATGAGCAAGGAAACCAAGACAATATGCAACCAACAAAATGCTGTTAGTGTGCAGGATTGACCCTAGTTGGAATGTTAGAGCTGCTGGAAGAAGCCGGATATCAGAACATTCGCCTGGCGAAGCCTAGCGAGTGCCAGCGAATGTTCACCTGGCGAAGCTTAGCGAGTGCCAGCGAATGTTCGCCTGGCGAGTGCTGGCGAGCCAGGACGAGTAATTTAAATTAAACTCCCAGACCAAAAGGGCATGAAGTTCGCCTGGCGAGTGAAGCCAACGAAGGTTTGCCTGACGAATGATTCCTTCGCCTGGCGAAGGCACGATAACTAAGAAGGCGGTTTGTTCATTTGGTTCGCCTGGCGAATGGGCGGAAACATAACATCTTTTTGTACTATATTTACCGCTTTTTAGGTCATAACTTAAGGATTTTTAATTATTTCCATTTGGTAACATTGGGGAACATCAGAACAGAGAGAGAAGTAAAAACCCTAAGAGGGAGGAGGTAAGATCTTTGATCTCTTGTTGTGGTTTGAATTGTAATCTATTGATACTTATGTATTTCATCTAATATATGTTTGTGAACTTATTTTGGATTCTCTATTGATTGATTATCTTTGATTATGTATTTGTGGGTCTTGACAAAACCTTTTCACATCTTTGATCTCAAATATTCTTCTATCAATGAACAAACTTTTGACATGGTTTTGAAGTTGATATTCATTTTATCCTTTATGGTGTTGTGTTGATTAAGTAGCATGGGTAGGATCAATATGATATTGTGTGGGTATGTGATAATAGTGATGAAGAATGATGTTCACAACCATTTGGCGGATTAGATGAATACATGTAAAAAGGGTTAAACGTGTGTACGTATTTTGATCATTCTATTTTATGCAAAACAATCGTTTATCCGATATGGGTGTCATCCTTGCTTATCTGTTTATCGTTGATTTTAATCGTGATAGAGATATACTTTTCAGATCTGGATCTAGGATGATTGCATGTTAGGTCCTAAATTCTAGAGATAGATCTAGGCTTAGCATTTGCGTGAGTATCAAATCTTAATGCTTTGTGTTGTGTTTTTTTTGGGTGAGAGATCACCAATGAGACAACACGGTTGTTCTCTCGACCCTGTATTAGAGATAAGCTTTGTCGTGAGTGATACGTGAGGATATTAGACGAATGATTGCATTGTGTTTAATTTGATCAAAATAATGCATGTGTTATCAATTGATGAAATCCAATCCTAACAATGCTCCATTTATATTTCAGTCTTTGTTTATATATTCTGTTTTTATTTGTGGTTCCTTGAACCCCTTAAACCAAACCTTTTGAAAATCAAGTTTAGAAATGTAGAAATCGTTGAACGGCGTTCATATCGCACTAATCCCTGTGGAGACGACAAAACTGGGTACTTAATATTTTTTGCTTGCTGCTTTACCGCACCAACAATAGACTCATCAATAAACCACTTTGCAATAGCAAGATCACACTTTTCTACCACTTCTTTAATTTACATCACACTTTTAAAAGTAGGTTGATCTTCCGGAGTTGTTTTGGGTAAAAAATAAGTACCAATGTGAGCGTCATTCTTTTTAAATGCACCAATTCGTGGGTTCATTTGCATTTGCAATTCACCCCCTCTGCAGAAAATGACTCACTTTTCAGCCACATTTGGAGTTTTTCTTTTCTTGCTTCGCTTATTAAGATATTAGTTCATCCAAAAACGAATTTCTGTAGGAACTGCCTTACAAATTTCAACATTCCCTACTACTCCAGCCAAATGTTGCTTTACCTTATGAATTCCACCTCCACCAAACGCTCTGTGGCAGTAGATACAAACAAGAGATTTTCCACCAGAACTTTTAGTACAATGTGCCCAAGCTATATCAGTATTTCCTCTAACATTATGTTGAACTAAATTAGGAGCTGAAGAAGCTTTTTATGATGGTAGTTGTGATGATGGTGTTTCAGAAGATGCCATTTTTTTGTAAAACAGTTCAAAATTGCTAAATTAAAATACATTGTAGTCTCACGTATGCCAAGTTCAAATTGTCAAATCTGTGAACTTTAAACAAGATACCTAGAAATATACACATAAGATTTTTATTTAAAACAAAAAGTTAAATGCTAGAGTGTATTGTACTTTAACAAGATACATATAAATATACACATAACATGTGTGGAATTGAGTACCATAGTTTTTTATGGAAGTTGGCATTTACCTGGCTGCTGCTTGTGATTATGTTTTGCTTGGTTCCATTTTCTACTCATGTATTATGATATCTCAGTATCAGTTCAATATAATATAGCCTTTAATGTTTTATTTGGTGGTAAAGGATCGCTTTCTCAGTGAATTTATAATCTAAGGGTGATATTTTTATTATTTTGTTATTATATTTGATTGACTACATCCTTCCCTTGAGGTTTTTTACACAGAAAAAAAATTTAATGTACCACTAAGTATATATAAAATGTAGCTCACAATACCATGATTAGCGTATATAAAATGTAGCTCACAATACCATGATTAACATATATGTACCACTAAGTATATATAAAATGCACTTAGGCTCTTTTCTCCCCAATGTGAGGAGTAAATCAAAATGAAGAAATCATCTCTATCGGATGCATCATCACTACTCATGATTAGCATAGTTGTGTATTTTCGTTTCTCCATTAGCTTTTTTTGTAATGTTCCTAGTGAAAAAGTATTTTATCCATAACAATTTGTGAATGATAAAAAAAATGCTATTTTGAATCTTTTAACATGTTTTTATTCTATTGTAGTCCTTGCCATACAATTTGAGCACAAAATAGGAAGCTTGACATTGTGATGCTTTTGAAAATTTCAAATTGCAAAGTGAATACCAATCATACATATTTTTGAAACCATGGTCACGACTGAGAGTCTGCAGTAAATCAAAGTTTCATCAGTAATGTTATATCTTTTTAATCTTTGTAATTCTACATGTTTTATATGAGCAACATATGCAATATTTTTTTCTTTAAACCTTCCACCACATGTTATGGACTAATTTTGAAGTTCTCTTATAGTAGAGCAAAAAGCAAATAGAGCAATTTAATCTAACTTAATTTGAGTGATCAGTTTTTTTTGTGAGATGTTAGGACCTCTGCCTTCCAATAGTTTGTTTTCTTTTCTTCTCAATAATTAATTCCTTCTCATGCAAATTCTGCTTTAAGGATTCTCTATCGTTATAAGGTATGTCTATAGGTGAGAGAGCATAGGCATATCTGTCATCATCCATTTAAGGTAAAGGTCTCATAGATTCACCATTGTTGAGTATGTTAAATCCTAAATGTAAGAGATTTTTCCAAATACCATGTACAATTTTTTTGTTTATTTTCATTTTGACTACAACTGTAACTCTATTGATTAAATTCTGCCATTAAATTTTGTTTGTTTTCAGAGATTTATTTTTCACAAAAGATCAAACCATTTAATCCTAATTTCTTGAACTAACCTATATATCTTGAACTAACCTTAATTTAATCTTCAACAATTTCAACAGAACAAAGTTAAATAAAAACAGAGAGGAGTATTGTACCTAGAAAGTTGAAACGATACAGAAACCGGAATGACGAGTCGTTGATATATTGCGGTGGAGAGAATGAACTTGAAGTTGGTGATGCAGAGAGGATAAGTGATAACAACCGTCGTGCGACGTGGAGAAAAACGAAGGCGCGGTGGTGGAGAAAGAAACGGCCGATGGTGTTTGATCTTTTCGAAACGGCGATGGTGGTCTGCTTGCTTTGGTAGTGGTGTTTACTCACTCAGCATTTTGCGTTTTGGATTTCAAAACAATGATAACAAAAAAATTTAATTTTTTAAAAAATTTTTATAACTCAAAAACATTGTTTGCATTTAAGTTTTAATTAAAAAATAAAAAGTATTAGAATCGCCGGTTTACAAAAACCGCCGATTTTTTGGTTTTTTCCGATCCAATTCAATTTGCATCATTTTTGACCGGTTTAATAACAAAGACGATCCAACTATTAAACCAGACCGGTTGCTAGCCCAATTACCGGTTCAACCAGTCCGACCGGCCGGTCCGATTTTTACAACTATGATTTAAACATACTTGATTCATCTATATAGTAATTTCATTTCATGCACAATCAAATAAAAAACCCCAGTGCCATTACCGTAAATAAACCAAAAAACTAAGGGCACGATCGTCCATAAAATATCATCCGTTTAACTACTCAAAAACGCGAATCGCAACCTCACTCTCACACTCACTCTCTCTCCATTTCCACAAGCACCAATTTCATTTTCATTTCACCCTCTGCATAGCTTCTGAAACCCTTCTTCAAGAGCTAGGGTTTTTCATTTTCGATGGCGAGAGTAAGAAAGAAATCCACTCCCGAAGAAGATGAACAAGGTGAAAAATCTCTACATTGCATTTCACTAGCTACGCACATTACAATTATCGTCGATTTTTTTATGCTAATTTCATTTCTATGATTCTGATTCGTGATTCTGTTTTTCAGATAAAATCCAAAGGAAAGGGAAACGGAAATTAGCTTCTACTGTTGACGACGATGACGGTAACTCCATGAACTTAGGTTCAATCAGCTTCAGTGAAAGAGTTCATTTAGTGTTTGTTTTCAATTTTTTGTTGTGTAGTTATTATTGCATGTGTTGATTTTTGAACATTTTGAAGTTTAAGTGAAAAATGTAATAATGCTCTTTATACGGAAATGCAATGATGCTGTTTTTATTTTAAATTTGATCAAACGATTTTTGTTTATATTTTTTTGATTTTTTTTAAGTAGACGGGAAATAAGTTTTTGGTACTTGTTATGAAGTACTTACATGAACACGGTATTGACACTCAGAAAATGGTAATAATCTAAGAAAATGTGAGTGATTAAAATTTAAAAAGAATTTGCATGTGATGGTGCCATGATTGTTGGACTCCGGCATGAGAGATACCTTCAATTTAAAGTGTTTGTGCTACATTCATTGATTGTTTGAACAAGAGAATGCTTTTCCAGATTAATTTTAATTTTATGTATTATTATAGTGATGTGTGTCATATTTTTTTTTTAATTATACATTTTTTGTGCCGGGCTTTGCTAGTATGCGAGATTCATAGGTGGTGTGAGACAGTAGTACTACTGAGGACGTTGTTGGAAAATGTTTTGATGGTTTATTTTTTCTTGGCTTGGTGAAGCAGATGAAGAGATGGATGAGTTTGAGGTGGATGGGTTTTTAGTTGGTAGTGATGAAGACGAGGAAGATAGCAGTGAAGAAGATAATTCTAAGCAAACACGAAAGAAGAAAAAGAGAAAGTTATTATATTTTCCTACCCTTTAATGCAAGTTCACATTTCTGCATTGCCTAGCAGTTAGCATTGATTCAATACTGTGTTTTTGTTGCCCATTTTCAGGAGATCGTCAAAAAACATTGTTCTTGATGACGATGATCTTGAGTTGATCCGTGAGAACAAGAAACAAATGGTTAGCTTTTACTTCTATATAACTGCTACTTCAATGATTTATAAGCATCAGAGAGATTGCTTTTTATCATTTATCTTATTTTTTTCTTCCTTTGGTATTCGTAGAATGATGGGAAGCTCAAGAGGCTTAAAAAGACTGGCAGAGTTACCGAGCCGATGGAACAATCTTCTGATGATGAAGGTGATCAGTATCAGCTTGTTGTTTCATCATCTTATATTTTGCTTCCTTTTTTTTAATGATAATTCAAGTTTCATACGATGGAACAATTCTGCCTTATATATCTTCAGTTTTCCTCTGGATTTTTTTCATTTACTATTGTTTGTAAATTAATTTAAATTTAAATAATCATCTAGGATCTCTTAACAAGCTTTTCGAAGATGTGTCTGATGATGCTGAAGATGATATGTCAGATTTTATAGTGGACGAAGAGCCTGCTATCTATGGGAAGGGAGAGTCTCTCAGGTATACTATATCACGATTAACATGAATAACTGGATAATATACTGATAGCTTGTATAATGTCTTGCTGTTATTAGCCCTTCAATATTAGATTTTGTTGTTGACTTATAGACCAAAAAAGTTTAAAGGCACGAAACATTCATCTTCGCTTTCAAAAGAAGCCAAACGTAGATCTGGCAAGTCAGGTGATGATCCTAAAAATATGGACGTAGCTGGAGCGGGTAACTCTGTTGCTGATTCAGACTTACCTGAGAGGATACAGGTTGCTTTCAATTTTTTTTTTGTTAATTACTAATATATCAAGTGTCAATCATAATTGTGATTTAAATTTAATCAATTTCTAATTTCTACAGATGATTGAGGACATTGTAGGATCTATTCCAGTTGACAGAACAAGTATTGAAGAAGAAAGTTCTTGGATACTACGCCAACTTGAATCCAACATAAATCCTTTGTTCAGCGAGGCCAAATCCTGTAGACTAGGTGATTCAGTAAATAGAGAGGATATTGTTAGGTTCTTGGAATTGTATCATATAAAGAAATATGATGTAAGAGTTACATGATTTAAATTACTTTTTTGAGTCATGTACGCCGGATGAAATTTCTTAAGTTTCTTTTTTCCGTTTTAGATTCCGTTTATTGCCATGTACCGTAAAGAACAATGCCCCAGTCTTCTGAGAGATGGTAAACAGGATGATTTGGAAAGCACATTATTGAATGATGGTGAGGGAAAACCTAAACTGAACTGGCACAAGGTAATTTTAATTTTCTGTTTTTATTGATGGATGGTATGAATCAAGCTAGAAGTAGTTGTATTTTTTAAGGATTTATATGTTGCATTGGAAAAAATATAAATAGTTAAAATTGCAAATTAAGTGAATTAATAAACTTAATGCATAACGGTATAAGAGCATGACAAAATGGGTCCATTTTGAGTGTAGATACTCTGGATAATCAAGGAATTGGACATAAAATGGCTACATCTTCAGAAACGAAAGAGCATGCTCCAAAGATACTATAACAAACATTTTGAGGATGAATGCCAAATGTCTTTCCTTGCCGAGGAATCCAGTTTCCACAAGCAGATTTTTGACTCGATCACCAATATGCTCGAGAAGGCGGAAACAGAGAAAGAGATTGATGATGTTGATATGAAGTTTAATTTGTATTTTCCACCAGCTGACGAGTTCTTAAGTAGTGGTTATAAAAGGCCTCTGATGAAGACATACTATTCCGATTGCAGAAAGGCAGGATTGTCTTCACTTGCTAGGAAAATTGGAAATCCTGAGAAATTTAGTTCTCTAGTTACTCTTAAAAAAGTGGTAAACTTTTGCTTTTGTTGGCCCGTGCTTTAATGTTTTCATAATTCCATTTGTTTTTTGATTGATAGATAACTGGAGAATTTATTGTATACTAGGGAATTGCCTGTGAAGAAGATCCAGAGGAATCTCCAGAGGAGATGGCTGCAATATATACATGTGAAACTTTTCGAACGTCCGAAGCCGTACTTAAAGGCGCCAGGCACATGGTATTCTGTTTAGTTTATCAATTGGTCCTCCATAAGTTTATCAAATTAATTTGTCATAGCTTAGCTTACACTAAAATTTTATTTTTCAGGCTTCCTTGATGTTAAGTTGTGAGATACCTTTCAGGAAACATGTCCGCAGCATATTTATGGATAAGGCTTTAGTATCAACTAGCCCCACATTGAAAGGAAATATAGCAATAGATTCCTTTCATGAATTTGCTGGATTTAAGTGGCTGAAGGACAAACCTCTCTTGAAGTTTGAGGATTCTCAGTGGCTTCTCATTCAGAAGGGTGAAGAAGAGGAACTTCTTAAAGTTGAAATAAAGTTGCCTGATGATGCGGTAAAGGAGTTGATGGTGATCTTCAACGATGCTTATCTTAAAGACACTGAAGGAACATCTACTCAACTTTGGAATGAGCAGCGTAAATCAATTGTGCAGGATACTATTTCAAGCATTCTTTTGCCTTCTATGGAGAAGGAAGCACGGACATTGTTAAATGCCAAGGCCAAAATCTGTTCATTAATGAAGTATGGGATGCAGTTTTGGAACAGAATTTCTGTTGCACCGTATCTAAACAATGACAATGCTGCTGCACAAGAGCGGGGAGTAGTGGCATGTTGCTGGGGAAATGGTAAACCAGGTACCACATTTGTCATGTTGGATTCTAAAGGCGAGTTGGTTGATATAATGCATGCCGGGTCACTGACACTGCGATCTCAGAATGTCAATGACCAGCAGCGCAGAAAAAGTGACCAGAAGTGTGTCCTCAAGTTCCTAACAATCCATCGACCAAAGGTTATTGTACTAGGAGCTGCCAATGCGACCTGTATAAGATTGAAGGAGGACATAAATGAGGTGAGTTACTCTTACATCTTACTGGATGAACCATTTTTTTGTTGTTGGTACTATTAGAGTTTAATCACATCTTACCATAAAGAGTGATGGGATTTTATGGTTGGACTGAAACTGTTACTGTATCCTGAACTGGCGTGCGTGCATCTGAGTAAGAGAAAACTATATTCGGGTAGATTCCAAATGAGACATTAATGCACTACACAAATGTTTTTGGTGCATTTCTTTGTTTTTTATTTTCTTTCTAATTATCTTGGATTGCACGCCATATACTATTCAGATTTTCTGAGTTTCATGCGGAGGAAGCAAGTGCCTTGCTGAATGCTAAGGGTAAACTCCGTAGTTAATACAGTGTGCAATGCTAAGGCTAAACCATTATGAAATTTAGTGGTATTAGGGTTATAATAGCCGTTTAGTTTAGTACTAGAGTTAGAACTTAGAAGTATTAGTTTGCTGCTTTTGGGTTGTAAGTACTAGTTTGGTGGTATGTGGGATATAAGTAGTAATTTAGTGATATTATTAGGGTTATGAGTGTCCGCGTTGCATGATGTATGTTGCTGATACGAAGGCTAGTACTGGTTATTAATGTTGGATGCATTATGGAGTGTAGTCCCTGTGGCTGTGAGATACCCTTATTTTTTTGAATTAATTTGTTTTGTTATAAGGATAATGTATATTAATATAATGTGTGTATTCTATAGCTATTTCACCAATGCCACATTTTAGAAGGCATATTATTATCTAAGACTTCACATCAGTTTGAAAATGTGGTTTGGTTTGTTTATTTTGGTAATTCCTTTTATGTTTTAACTTCCTTAATTAGTTGTAGTTCCTGTTATTTATAACTGTTATTTCTGCATTCTGCAATCACGCATTTGAGGTTATTAATTTTCGCCCATATAATAACAGTTTTAGATGTCATATGTTTTGTTGATAGGTAATATTGATGCTGTATGTTAATCATCTTTGGTTCTTAATGTTACTTGTAATATTTTAGTTATATTATGTAAGGGTGGCAAAACGGACCTGGCCCTCTGGACATGCCCATTTTTCCTGCATTCTTTTGCGAGCTGAGTCAAGGTTTTAGGCCCGCACTGTCTACTATGCACACCCCCTGCTTTTTTGCAGGCGCTGGCAGTAGTATTAAAATTTGCAACTTTTAGGCTTTAAGGGTGCAGGGCCCATTGGACCCGCCTTCATTTTTTTCAGGTCAATCCAAGTTATGGCTCACACCCTCCACTATGCCCGCTCTGCTCAGTTTTTTTGCGTACTCTTGCGGGCATATTTGAATAAAATTGCTGCCCCTAATATTATGCATGAGTTGGGACATTTATTTTGTTAGTAGATACTACAATTCAATGAGTTTTATAAAATTATTATCATTCAGATTATTTCCATGATGTCTGAGGACAATTTTCAAGATGTCAATCAAGAGATGAATGGACTACCAGCAGTTGTATTGGGGGACGAATGCTTGCCACATCTCTATGAAGAGTCAGATATATCAATGAGCCAGTTCCCCAGACAATATGGTATTCAATTTAAATATTTTTTTCGAGCCTCCATTTCTACTTTTAAGTTTTTATAATCTCTTTCCTGACATTTAGGAGTTTCTTTTTGGATAGTTATACAGTGGTTCTGTTTTTCAAATTTTATAGGCATTGTAAAGAGAGCTGTGGCCCTTGGACGTTACCTTCTAAATCCACTGGCAATGGTTGCAACACTCTGCGGAGTCAATAAAGAGGTATTGTCTTGGAAATTAAACCCTCTGGAGAGATTCCTATCAAATGATGAGAAAATGGAGATGATTGAATGGATCATGATAGATATTACTAACCAAGTAGGTATAGACATAAATATGGGAATTAAACATGACTGGCTGTTGGCACCTTTGCTGTTTGTTTCTGGTCTTGGTCCCACGAAAGCTGGTGTTTTGCACAGAGAACTACTTGGAGGTACAGATGTGAGAAATCGCAAGGACTTAGCTAAATTTGGACTGAACACAAAAAGGGTTTTCTGCAATGCTGTTGGTTTTTTACAGGTTTCTGGTGACGACCCAAATTTTGTTGATACTGCTGGCAATATCCTTGACCGTACAAGAATTCATCCAGAGTCATATAGTCTTGCTGAGGAGTTAGCTAAAGCTGTTGTTACTATACATTATGCTGATGCCAATGATACCCAAGTGAATGCAATCGAATGTATTCAAAATGAACCAAAACTGCTAGAGAGTTTTGATCTAAATGAATATGCTGATAGAATGGAAACTGAAAAAGGAGAATACAAAAGAGTTACTCTTTTTGATATAAAGATGGAACTAGTCCATGGATTTAAAGATCCAAGAAGCCCTTATCAGGAACCCACTCAAGAGGATGAGTTCTACATGGTAACTGGAGAAACAGGGGTTGCACTGATTGAAGGAGAAAGAGTTCAGGCAACAGTTCGCCGTGTACTGGCTCGTCAGGCATTCTGTGTGCTTGAATCTGGAATATCTGGAGTATTGTTTAAGGAGGACTTTTCAGATGATATTGGGGATATACCGTTGACGGAAAAATTGCGTGAAGGCGTTGTGCTGAAATGCAAGATCAAACTAATTGATAAGAGTAGATGCCAGGTTAATCTGACATGTAAAGTGAGTGAATTGAAGAGTGTTGGTGATCAAAGTTTCCGTGACATGGATCCCTATTATTGTCAAGGAAACATCGACATGCTAAGTCAACAAGAGTCAACAGAGAAAAAAGATGTAAATAAAAATTTCTTGTCAAGAAAAATTTCTCATCCCCATTTTCAGAATATAACTGCAGATAAGGCTAAGGAGGTACATATTTGTTGTTTGATATTTGTGTGCATTTAATTTCCATTTCCATTCACTTCATTGAGATATTTATTTCATCTTTTCTCTATTGAATAGTTCCTTGCAGAGAAGACCGTCGGGGAATTTATCTTCCACCCAAGTTCAAGGGGCCTATGTTATTTGACCCTATCTCTTAAATTTTTTGATTCACTTTATGTGCACAAAGACATTTTGGAAGGTGAGAAGAGTGATGATATGAATAGCTTGGTTGAACTTGGAAGGACATTAAAAGTAGGTGATGAAGTATTTGAGAGCATAGATAAGGTCAGTATCCTTAACTCAGATATCAGATGGCCTTATTCTCTGGATGTCTCTGTTTTTTACACGGGGCTTCACTTTTGGGTTCATGCATATCAATTTATCACTCTTGAAAGTTGAAATTTCTTCTCAGTGTGCGTGTTTATGTCTTCTAGAGCAAGATGTCATGATATGAAGGTCAAGGATTCTGGGATTATGGTTTTTGATATCATGATATGTGTGTAAATTAGTCTTAGATTATGATAGACTCTTGAATCGCCTGTTAATTTTAAATTGATTAGGGATAATTTATTACCTTGAGAAGATTTTTTGTTTGCACTTGTTTATCTAGAAATTCACTTCATTTGTTCAGTTAGTAATTTCCGCTGCTCTGGCAATAGGTTATTGAACTCTATGTCAACCCATTGGTAGTTCATCTGAAAGAGTTGATTAATTTCCGAAAATTTAAGAAGGGCACCAAAGCTGAAGTTGATGAACTATTGAAACACGAGAAGGAGGAATATCCAAACAGGATACCATATGGCATTGGCATTTCATATGAGCATCCTGGGGTTTTTATACTGTCTTACATTAGAAGTACAAATCCACATCATGAGTATATTGCTATCCATCCAAAAGGATTCAAATTCAGGAAGCAAATATTCAACAATGTTGAGCAGCTGATGGCATATTTTCAAAATCATATCAATGATAATGTTACACGAGCAAATGACCAATCAAAAGGTAAAGCAAGATCTCCATTTATCTACTCATTTGAGCTAACATTCTATATTTTGACACGTTTTATTAACTTAAAAAAATTTATGTCCTACAAATATTTAAACTTGGGGAATTAGTCAAATTTATAGGTACTTGTTTAAAATTCATGTGATAAGCAAAGGCCCCTGCGTAGGTTGTGCTGTATCACAATCTCTTGATCTTACTAAAACCTTCTTCATTTCAGAAATTGCCTCACATGCATGATTCCTCTATTTTTCTTTTATAGCTCTGAAGCTAAGGCTGTTGGTGAACCTATAATCATCTGAATTCTTCTCTTTTCACTAATAAACCTAATGGGCCTTTCACAACTTTCCAATAAACCAGTGCCTTTTTTTGCCTTAATTAATACATTATTGTTGTACACAAATTTTGATAATGTATGGGGCATTATAAATTTAATTTTATGTTTTATTCTATATTGTTTGCTTTTATATGTGCATCCTGAGATCATTACTTCCATATAATGCATATTTAATCCAGTGTTACAAAAATAAAATGAATATTATCTGTATAAGCTGTCTACATAACATCAATACTATGTTTTGGGAATTGCTTTTCTTTCAAAGATTTGGTGAATGCCGAATATGAATGAATGACAGTGGTTGGTGGATTAACTTCCCAACTTCATATAGTGGTTATCTTCATGGGATGACATTTTTTGGTTTTTTTAATAGTGACATATTTCAACTGCATACATACATGTTCATGAAACATTTATGGCTATTTTGTTTCAGGCATATACTAAACTAATTTCATCTTCGTAAGTATTGTTGCACTGTTATCAAAAATAAGTTTTTATTTGTGTTTCTCAGCAGTTTGGTCTTCTGGAAATCATATTTTTGTCATGGTTTATTTGTTTTTATTCCAATACACATTCATTTTTATCATAATGTCAAATGTGTAATCATTACTCATTCAAACATTCCTGGTAGAAAGTGGCAAACGATCATCTTTAGTTTGGAGGGTTTTAGATTGTATGAACATAATATTTCTCAAGAGATATTATCGATAACTTTTACTCAATTTCTTGTTTGTGTACTTTGGTTGGTCTGACTCATCTATTTTATGCCTTTCAGATTACAATGACAGTGGGGGTGGCCGCGGCCGCGGTCGTGGTCGTGGTGGGGGTGGTGGTTCATGCTACAAATGCGGTGAGTCGGGTCACATGGCTAGGGAGTGCACCCAGGAGGGTGGTGGAGGTGGAGGGAGGGGCGGTGGTGGTGGAACATGCTACAAATGTGGTGAGTCGGGTCACATGGCTAGGGAGTGCACGCAGGAGGGTGGTGGAGGGAGGGGCGGTGGCGGTGGAACATGCTACAAATGTGGTGAGTCAGGTCACATGGCTAGGGAATGCACTCAAGAGGGTGGCGGAGGTGGAGGAAGAGGTGGTGGTGGAACATGCTACAAATGTGGTGAGTCGGGTCATATGGCTAGGGAATGCACTCAGGAGGGTGGCGGAGGTGGAGGGAGAGGCGGTGGTGGTGGCGGAGCATGTTACAAATGTGGTGAGTCAGGTCACATGGCTAGGGAGTGCACTCAAGAGGGCGGTGGGGGTGGAGGGAGGGGAGGTGGTTCATGCTACAAATGTGGTGAGTCCGGTCACATGGCTAGGGAATGCACTCAAGAGGGTGGTGGAGGTGGAGGTTGGAGCAGCAGTGGTGGACGGAGAGGTGGAAGAGGCCATGGCCGGGGACGTGGTTCTAGCTATAGCTCTTTCTCTCACGATGATAGCGCTGATGTCAATGATGGTGGTGGGTTTGGTACTTCAAATGGTGGGAGTGGGTGGGGAGGGACTGGTGGCAAAAGTTGGGGTGGGAATAGTACTAGTGAAGAAAAAGGTGGTTGGGGGGTCACAGCTGCTGATAACGGTGGGTCTGGAAATGATAATTCTGGATGGAGTTCCGCACATGGGAAGAATGCAACCTCCCCTGGTGGTGAGAGTGGATGGGGAGCAACTGGTGGTAAAAGTTGGGGTGGAAATAGTTCTAACAAAGAAAGCAATACAACAGAAGGTGGTTGGGGAGTCACAACTGGATCGGGAAATGAAACAGGTGGTACTAGTTGGGGTGCAAATAGTACTAACAAAGAGAGCAATGCAACAAAAGGTGGTTGGGGAAGCACAACTGGTTCTGGAAATGAAATTGGTGGTAAAAGTTGGGGTGGGAATAGTACTAACAATGAAAGCAATACAACAGGTGGTTGGGGAGTCGCAGCTGGATCTGGAAATGAAACTGGTGGTAAAAGTTGGGGTGGAAATAGTACTAACAAAGAAAGCAATACAGAAGGTGGTTGGGGAGTAGTCACAACTGGATCGGGAAATGAAACTGGTGGTAAAAGTTGGGGTGGGAATAGTACCAACAAAGAAAGCAATACAACAGAAGGTGGTTGGGGAGTCACAACTGGATCTGGAAATGAAACTGGTGGTAAAAGTTGGGGTGGGAATAGTACTAACAAAGAAAGCAATACAACAGGTAGTTGGGGTGTCCCAACTGGATCTGGAAATGAAACTGGTGGTAAAAGTTGGGGTGGGAATAGTACTAACAAAGAAAGCAATACAACAGGTGGTTGGGGTGTCACAACTGGATCTGGAAATGAAACTGGTGGTAAAAGTTGGGGTGGGAATAGTACCAACAAAGAAAGCAATACAACAGAAGGTGGCTGGGGAGTCGCCACTGGATCTGGAAATCAAAATTCTGGATGGAGTTCTGGTCATGGTAAGAATGCAGCTCCTTCTGGTGGTGAGACTGGATGGGGAGGGACTAATGGTGGAAGTGGATGGGGAGGTACTGGAGGGAGTGGGGGTAAAAGTTGGGGTGGAAGTAGTACATATGAAGAAAATAATACGGCAGAAGGTGGAGTCAGTGGCTATGGAGGCGGTGGTGGACGAGGAAGTGGACGAGGTGGTGGGGCGTGCTACAAGTGTGGTGAGTCTGGTCACATGGCTAGGGACTGCACCCAAGAGGGTGGTGGAGGTGGAGGGAGGGGTGGCAGTGGACGGGGGGGTGGTAGAGGTGGTGGGGCGTGCTACAAGTGTGGTGAATCAGGTCACATGGCTAGGGACTGCACTCAAGAGGGTGGTGGAGGTGGAGGATGGGGAGGTGGTGGACGAGGAGGTGGAAGAGGTGGTGGGGTGTGCTACAAGTGTGGTGAGTCGGGTCACATGGCTAGGGAATGCACCCAGGAGGGTGGTGGAGGTGGAGGTGGAGGATGGGGAGGCGGTGGACGAGGAGGCGGAAGAGGTGGTGGGGTGTGCTACAAGTGTGGTGAGTCGGGGCACATGGCTAGGGAATGCACCCAGGAGGGTGGAGGAGGTGGAGGGAGGGGTAGTGGCGGTGGTGGAACATGCTTCAAATGTGGTGAGTCCGGTCACATGGCTAGGGAATGCACCCAAGAGGGTGGCAGTGGCGGAGGTGGTGGAGGGAGGTATGGGGGAGGTGGCGGCGGAAACTGTTACAAATGTGGGGAGTCTGGGCATTTTGCGAGAGAATGCCCATCGAGTACTAGTTGAAGTTCAATGCCTAGAGAATGCCCATCGAGTACTAGTTGAAGTTCAATGCCTACTGTTTATACGATGGTTAATCTTTTACAGGTGTATATTTTAATTTCATAGTTCTGTTTTGCAATAGCTTTATTAAGGGTTTGTGCTGCTGGATCTCACCACTTATGCTAACTCTCGTTTATTATTTTTTATTTTTTATTTTATAATAACAGGTTGGGTGTTATTTTGTTTTTATGCTTTATGACACGGTTGCATTTTGTGAAAACCTATTATGGTTCCTTTCATGTAACAAAATCTACAAAATCTTCTCCGCCATCATCTCTTTTAAAAAGAAATATAACAGAAGGAAGTTTGTGGCTCACTCGCTAGGAATGGTGGCTGTATCTTGAAGTCACTATTCGTTCTCATGTACCTCTTGTGGTGGTGGTGATAGTAGATGTGAAGAGAGACTATTGGTAAAATTTGGTAACAGTTTCCTTGATGCTAATGAGACTCCTAGCGGGTGGTAATTTCCTCTCTAGAAGTAAAACTCTCTCTTGTTTAGTTTGCTGGTATTTATGGCTGGGTATCTAGGTGTACAAAAACATGGCCTATTATTTGCAGTCTAGTTTGTGATCCTCTTTACATAAACTACTTCCTCCCTTTCTTGTCCACGCAATTGAAAGATGTTCACTGCTTTTCTCTGTTTGGAATTATCTTTCACTTGAATGTATGTATGTTACATGGGTTTGTTTGGTCACGAAGGTTAATTAGACAGTAGTGGAAACACTGGTGCATGCAAAATAGGAATTGAGAAAAATATAAGTTCTTGCAACATTAAAGACAAAATGACAACCATTAATGCTCTAAAAACAAGGAAAGAGCAATAAGTTCCTTGAAATAAAGAAATACAGTTCTCCACATTATAGAGGAGAAAAACTAAAGTGCACGTTAATTGTTTCTAACAGTATGTTTTATAAAAACTGATTGAGAATGTCTTTTTTGTAGACGTAACAATAATTTTTTTAGAAAATAAATCAGTTGAATTGATCTTTTTGAAAAATAAATCAATGTTATTCTTTAAATATCACATGGAAAACAAGGTAAAGAGATATTTATTTGTTCGATTCTGTTGTTCTTAGGTCCTTCGTTGGTTGATTAGTTGGACTATGCAAAAGATGGTTTTATTATTACAATATATATAAATTCCTATAGTTTTATTATATAAAATTCCTAGTCTTTACTTTGAATCTGAACTGCTCCCTTTCGAGCAAAATAACGTGATCTAAGATGTTATAAGTAACATCTCGATATTTAGTAGTGTCATAAATAACAAAGGATAGTTATGGGATGCACTCTTCCTGCTTGCATCAGCACAAGATAATGATACTGTTGAATGTCAACTGCTCAATTTAGAATGAAAGAGTTTTGTTGGATCTTATTTGACATAAAGTTAGATAAGGTTTGTTTGATATTGGCTTCTTAACTGCTCAATTTAGAATGAAAGAGTTTTGTTGGATCTTATTTGACATAAAGTTAGATAAGGTTTGTTTGATATTGGCTTCTTAAAAAAGTGATTTTATATTTATATTTCTGAAATTTTTATGTGGAACTTACCTAAAAAGAAGTAGAAGTTATTTTTATATGAATAATCAGTCAATTATGTCTATACATTATTTTCTTATTCAACTATTAGTGATTCAAGAGTGTAATTGAGGGAGTAGTTATTTCAAAATTATCCTAGTGAAAAAAAGAAAAGCCTTAATATCATTTCTAGTCCTTTTTATTTGGTTCTCTTTCTTTTAAAACGTCTAAATTGGTCATTTACGTTATCAAATAGAATCAAATTAGTTTTTTCTGTTAAATGTTATTAAACGACGTTAGTGGAAATGACGTGTCAGCTGAGGTGAATTGTCTATTCATCACCTTTTTTTTCGTTGATGCTGAAACACTTTACCAGTTACTCTCAAATTGAAACCTAACGCGAATAATTTCACAAAATTTCCAAATTGAAACCTAATTCGTGTACATTAGTGCACTAATCATGAGTTCTGAGCGTGATTCATCATCATCACCATTGAAAAACAAAAGTGATTCGCAGGTACTTAGCAACTCTAATATCCCGTGAAAGTCTTTTTGTCATTGTGGAGACAATGTTGTATTTCGAAGGGCAAGAACTGTCAACAATTATGAAAAGTTTTTTTTGGGGTTGTCAACATTTTAAGGTAAGCTTTAGTTTGAATATTCTAGTTGAAATGTCCATTTACTACATTGCAATTTTCTTTCTTAATATCTACAGGGATATAATAATGCTGGTTGTGGATTCTTTGAATGGTTCTATGAAGAAGCTAGAGATGAAAATGAACAAATCATGTGAAACAACAAAGTAAGATAGATGTGCTAACTCAAGAGATGGAGGAAGGCAAAAAAGAGGTTGAAGTATTCATGCTCAATAATAAGGAATTAGAAGATGCTTTGAAGAACACCATCAAGTAGAATTTTTTTTGGAAGTTTATGTTATATGATGTGTTGTAAAAGTTGGAAGTTTATGTTCTATGTTGTGTTCATTAATGTGTTATGAATGTGTTATGTAAAAGTTGATCATATCAGTTCAAACTTGCATTGTTGAAACTTGAATGTTATATGAATGTTTTGACATTATTTAGTTACATGATTGAATATTTTGGCATTATTAGTTGCACCACTTGAATAATTTTGGCATTATTTTGCAAAACAAAATTATAATTGAATGTTGAATGATAAAACTCCACTTCATTAAACCTTGTTCAAAATAACATACACTTGACATAATTTATTACATAAACTTTGTCTCAAAACATACATGACATAAACCTTGCATAAACATTGTTTCAAAACACACATGACACCAACCATGTTCTCAAAACAGAAATTACATAAAATTCATACAATATAGGCATGACTAAAAAATTTTCTTTGGATTTTTCTTTTTGTTAGAGTGGTCCTCATAGTTGTAGGCCTCACTGCATTTTGTGATGCACTAAGCCTAGTAGTTGGACCCTTTGTAATAGATGACTGAGCTGGTTTCCTAACAGGTAACTTCTTTGACCTCCTTCCTTGCTGAGATGACTAAGTTATTTGAGATGCTTGTGTTGGTGGCTGAGATGCTTGTGTTGCACTTGTTTGAGTTATTTGATTTGGTGGCTGAGATGCTTGTGTTGCACTTGTTTGAGTTATTTGAGTTGGTGGCTGAGATGCTTGTGGGTACTCCATTCTGACCCATAAATTGATTTCATTAATAAGATAAATCATATGTTCATAAACAGATTGATACCTTAACTTCTTATAAAACTCTGAGATATAATCATCAACATTTAGACTCGTGCTCTTCACTGCAGAAATCGCATGAACACAAGGTAGAGCTGTTAGTTGCCACTTTTTGCATGAACATTCATGGTCCTTTAAGTTGACAGAAAATATATCACCTTAATTCTCAATGTGTCTGAATTCAAAGATGAACTCAGATGACATCCTACAAAAATGTATAGAAACTCACGTAATGTATAAAAATTCAGAAATTGCATGAACACAAAATGTATAGAAATTAAATTCAAAAATTGCATTAACACAAAATGTACCTTATTATCTAGAAGTTTGTGTAAGTGCTTGTTTTCTCCACTTTCTTCTTAATGTTTGGCAAAACATCCTTATCACTTAATTGTGAGAATCTCACCTTATTAGCTGCCCATTTTCCCATGATGTAGCCCCTTATTACTTCTAGCATGGTCATCAATGGCTTTGATCTTGACTCTACAATCACACTATTGAAAGTCTCTGACATGTTATTCAATACAAAATCACACTTTGAAGTTGTCCTGAAATAGGATTTGCTCCAAAATTTGGGTGGAGTTTGCATCATGTGCTTGTAAGTCTCTTCATGTAACTGTCTCATTCCTCTCATCTCCCTTTCCCATGCTTGTGGATAAGTAGTCTTGATAGCCTTCCAAATGATCTCCTTCAACATTTTTTTCAGGAAAATTCTTCCTAACATTGTTATATAAGTGTCTTACACAAAGTCCCTGTTCAACATTGGGTAGTAATTCATCCATTGCAGGAAGAAGACCTTGCAAAATTAAACCAAATAATAGTGACTAAATACATTTACTAGGAACATCATACTTTAACTGAATGTGAAAAAAATAGGTTGGTACCTTTTGTTGATCATAAATGAATGTATAAGTTCTACATTCATCCAAAAACCATGACCTACATTCATACCTACACCATCAGTACCTACACTTACACCCTCTACAACATCATTGTTCACACCCTCACTACATTTCTTATCATCCTTAGTGACTTCTTCATATAGACCTTCAAGTATGGATTCTACCTCCGGATTAAACACACTTATAGGTTCTTCATGTATGACTTCTTCCTCCATGTTTATAGGTTAATTATCCATGTTTATAGGTTCTTCTATAAGACTATCAACATATTCTGGTTGAGATAGATGACGTTCTATGTAAATATCATTTGTCAAGTGTACCCCATAGAGGTTAGCAACCTCTAACGCACCCTTGTTATCATTAAGAATATTCATCCCAAAAGTGAGGTCATTATAATAGATGGTGTCTACCTCAATATAACCTAGATCTTTCAGAACACCAACCAATTCAAAGTAACTCCACCTACCCACATCTACTTCTAAATCATTGCATTTACCTCCCACATACACAATTTTTTCAAAGTCCACAAACTCACCACTATGATGAATTTTCAAACACAAAATTTCATCCATTTCTACCTAATACAAGAAAATGCAAAATTATATAGTAGATTTCAAAAGGGGCGAAAACACTAGATATCTAAACCTAACAATTGAAAATATGGACATACAATGCAGGTACAGAAATACAACGAAACTATGAACACGCAGTGATATTAGATAAATACATTATGTAAACTAACCTTGTGACCTTCGTAGTCTACGATGCGCCTTCATCTTCTTCAATGCATTCTTCGTTATCTTTTCATTCTCTGCTAGGGTTCTTATTTCAACATTTGTTAGAATGAAAAAATGAAATGGGAATATAATCTGGCTTACCATGCCACCTAAGCATTATTCTTACTTATCATGTCACCTAAACAATCTTTTCCTGCCACCTAAGCAACAACTTACCACGTCATCCAGGTTTATATTAGTAATCTAACATTTCTAACAGAAAGGACAAATGTGGTACACTTTTAATAACGTAAGGGACCAACTTGGACGTTTTAAAAGAAAGAGGACCCAAATGGACCAAGAGGTATAGGTAAGAGACTAAAAAATGTATTAAGCCAAAAGAAAAAGATTGCCTCTTTTAAAATTTGTTATTGGTTGAGACTTGTCGTGTTCTTACTTCCTAGAGGTTCTTAACGAAACAAATAT